AAACACCCCCAACTGGGCCAGGGGATGAACATGCAACCCAGGCACTTTCCTATTTAGTAACAAAGTTTTTTACTTGATTGCTTTTGCTTATTATTATTTTTTTTACTATTACAGATGTTGCATTTGATTGTGCCAGGAATTGAACCCGTGACCCTTCAGTGTGCATGAGCGGACACGCGCGCACGTACCGGGACACACCCCCACACCCACGTGGAGCGGGGAGGGAGAAACCCCCTCACCTGGGCATAGACACTCCCACAGGCACACTGCCCTCCCTCCCGCCCCCACCTCACCAGGCAGACTCAGAGCTTGCACTCAGACACCGCGCCGTTAGCGGGAACACACGCAGGATGGGGACACGCGCGAGACGGGGACACAGGCTCTAGACGGGATGCGTGGAGGCGCGGCGCGGGAGTGTGATTCCGCGACTATTCAGGGAGCTCCCTCGCCCCCTCCCCCCACGCGCTGACTCACACCCGGCGACTGGCTGTCTCACACCCATGGAGCGTGCGCCCCCACCCCACTGTCACTCCACCTCTCGCTGGGCGTGGGGGTGCGCGAACCCCAAAGGAGCGGACTCCGCGCGGGCGGGTTCGCTCTTAGCGGCCGCCCCCTAGCGGCGGACTGCTCCGGGCGCTGTCCCTGCTCCCAGAGGGCCCTGAGGTCCAGGGCACTATGGGCTTCCTCCCACAGGGGCCCAGGGAGGAGGAGACAGGGAGAGGAGTGCGGGGCGGTGCGGGGGAGGACTTAGGAGCAGCTCCACTTGGAATGATTCCTGTGACTGTCCCCAGGCAATCCTCAGTGGCCATGACCAGAGCGAGCTTGAGTGACCAACCCTCGTCAGAGGTCAGCAGAACAGGCCTACAGGACCAAGGCCCAGAAAGCAGCTAAGGTGTCAGTCCGTGACAAGGCCAAGCCACCCTTCCCAGGCGGTCAAGTGAGTGCCCCATAGAATGTCTGAGTGACCACCCTCACTCCCTGCCCTCCACACACACACACATAACTGAGCATCCTTCACATCAGGCTCTGTGGACCGTAGCCTGTCAGGGTATATTTTGCCCCTAAACCAGGCCCATCCATGGAAGCCTTAGGTCAGTCCCTCTATTGCAGATAATAATTGCTGCCGGGTTTGTTTCCAGCCCGCGGCATGTGTTAACTCGTTTAAGATTCACCACAGCCTATTAGGCTGTTACCATTGTCCCCACATCACTGGCTTCCTTCAGCCCCACAGTGGCTAACATTTGTGGAGCCTTGCTTTGTGCCAGCGATGTGCACACCACATGACTTGCCTTACCTCCTGTCTCTCCAGAGGGAGAGGGTGCCACTCCTCACGTACAGTCAGGGAGATCAAGGCTTAATGAACACATCCTCAGTAACTGACAGAGCGGGTATTAAGCCCAGGCAGTCTGACTCCAAGATCCAAGTTCTGTTACAGTGCTTTGCAGTCCCCTAACTTCCTTTGACCATCCTCATGCAATTCCATCCTAGAGCTGAACTAATTTGTCTAGATCATTCTAAACTCTTGATACCTGGGCCTGAAGGAGGAATCACGGGTATAGATTGAAAGGTTCAACAGGACTCAGACCCTAGCGATGCCACCTATGGCTGCTTTATCTCTTTCTTGTCACCCCATCACACTGCTGACACCTCAGGCTTGCAGCTGACTCACGTCTCTAAGTGTTTCTTACAAGTGCTGCTGATTAAGGCACATCGGCTGCACACTGCGCTTGTACAGTGGGCTTTTGTGGACCGCACATGTAGGGCCTTACACATTTGACCTGATTGCATTGTATCTGGTCTCATCAGCTCACTGCTTCCACTTAAAAAAAAAAAGTCTACTTGAATCTTGAATCGTGATATAGCTTTCATTTGTTCAAAAAGAGGAAGTGGGAGGATTGAGTCCAGACAGCTTCACCATTGATTCCAGGTGCACCTGGAGCAAGTTGGTTGACCTCTCCGAGCCTCAGTTTTCTCACCTGTAAAATGGGGAGTCAAGATTAACTTCAAACACCTCCTTGGGTTCTGATGTGTAATTCTATGGTTCTGTTATTCAAGACAGCCCTTCTATTGGCATCATGTCATATCTGTGTTTGACTACAATTTAATTCCTCACTAAAGTTGTTAATAAAAATGTCAACACGAATATGTTGAAAGGGGTTCTAATATGCACTTCCACATTGTGAACCTCCATTCTTAAAGTGACACGGTTAAATGTAGGTTAACCCACTCTGACAAGCGTTTTATTCTTAGTGGGGAAAACATGGGTGTAGTTCCTTCTCATAACTGCACTTGGCTCCACTTTAAGCTTAGCTTTACCTTTGAATGCACACGTTCTGAAGTTCTTGGGTTTCGGCTGCACCAGAGCCAGGCAGCTTTGCCCCTCAAAGTCCACCCAGAGGACCGACCACTCAGGGAGTGAGACGGGACGTGCCTGCCCAGCGCTTCTCCCCCTTTCATGGCAGCACCATGAGTTGCCTGTGGAGGGATTGAGGAGGATTGTGTTGGGTTATGGTTTGTCAAAGTCACTCCTGTTCCTGTTCCCGTCACCCGGAAGCAGGTGAAGGGAGTCAGGGCTGGTGGCTGCACAGTGTTGGGGACCCAGGCTCCACCAGGTGTCTCCCCCATCCGACATGGCCGGCTGGTCCAGGGCGCCTTACTCACTTCCATATTCCTTATCCATCATGACCACATTCTGGACAAAGGCAAGGATGAAAAGACAAAGAAGGACATGACAGATCCCTCTGGGGCATTTCCTGGACCTTGCATCCATTACTGCCACTTACATTCAGGTGGTGAGAGCACTGCCCCAAGGCTTTGTAGCCTCAAGGGGTCCTTTGGAATGTAGTCTTCACTCTGCGTGGCTCGGTGCCTGCCTAGCCTTTGGGTGTCTGCTCATCCAGAAAGAACTGAAGAAAAGTTACGGAGAGCAACCAGTAGCTCTCATGTCCTTGGAGAAAAGGTTTTCTCTCATGCTTTTCCTGTGTGGTTTGTGTGGGTTGATCCTAGTTCAAGGGCAGGCATATGACCAAGCCCGAACAACTATAATTTTCTAATCGTACTTTATTGAAAGCAACTCAGATCTCCAGTGAGCACCAACCACTTGGAAGAGAGAAACTCCTTTTCTTCTGAGATGATGAGCTGGGAAAACACGAGCCTGGAGCTTCCAGGGCCACCTCCACCCTCAGGAGGGGAAACAGGCCTGAACGGTGGCGGCTCGGACAGCACCCTGTGAACTCTAAGTCTAGCCACGCCAGCAGCATGGTCCCTGGGCTTTTTTGCTTTAACTGATTAGTTACCTTTCTGTTGCTTGCAATTGAAAGAGTCCTGACCATTACCAACACAGCAGCCACATCAGCAACAAGGCACAGGGACCATTTTCATGGAAGGTGCTGGAGGGGGCGTGTGTGGATGAAGGGTGCGTTTGGACTAGGACTGGAACCCTTCAAAATGTGAAGCAGTCCCAGGCTCTAGCTGCTTTCTGCATCTTCTCTGCTGCTCTGTTCCTTATTCATTTTCTTCTCACTCATAACTGTCTCCCCACCCCCAACCCCTGTGTTTAGGACTCAGTAAGGGTTACTGAGCTGCAAGCAACAGAAACGGACTCTGGCTAATGTAAGCCAAAGGAAGAGTTGAGAACAGCTCACGCTGAAAAAGCACGTGGGGAGCTCACAGGTCGGGGAGCTGGGGAGCGGGTGTCGCAGAGGCAGCACAGAAAGCTCTGGGCCGCCCTCACTGAGACGGCTTGGCCTCCTCGCATCAGCGTTACCACTCACGCACCTCCCTCTCACGCTGGTCCCTGCATTTCAGACCTCGAATTTGAAAATTATAAAACAAGGACATTTTCTTTTCCTAAAGTCTTTGGACCCATCAAGCCTTATTATTCAGTTTCAGTCCAATATAAGTTTCACATTTTCCTCTCTCGAGCTGAGTTTTGTAAAATGTGAGAAAATGTTCCAAAGAAGGTGGTTCTTCTGAAGCGCAGGACTGTGAATTGGAGCCGTGCGGTCTGCAGGTTTGTGAGGTGCCAAGTTCCCATCGAGCCAGGAGGATGCGAATGCATATTCTACATTTAGGAAGGAGGCTGGGAGTGAGGGTGAGATTTTATATACTAGCACACTCTGTACCCTGGATAGGATCACAGGGCAAAGGTTCAAGAAACCAGATACTGCTGCGGAAGGGAACCAGATCTACAAGATTAGAAGCCATGGCCGATTTTAAGTACTTTGTAAGATTCCAAATCTTTTGTCATCTTCATGTTGGCTTCTGCTATTCGTGAACATACTCATAATAATTATAGGCACCATTTATTGCGCATTTTCTCAGCTACAGGTACTAGGCTAAGGGTTTAGATACATTACCCAGTTTA